AACAGTAAAAAAATTTGAAGTAATGTATTTAAAAAACGTTACTAAGAAGTCCGTATCCACAAGTGCGGGCACCAGCGCTTACTTCCTCTTAATACGGGGGGGGGGGGGGGGGGGGTGGATGCAGATCGTTAGAGAATTGCTCTGGGGCCTTTTGCTTTCGGCTTTGTGGTTTAAACACCAAATGCACCTAAGCCGTGGCCCCACAGACATCTCAAAAAGCCGGATGTCAAAAGACGTCGCATATCATATGTACCTGTCATATTTTCTTATGTCAAACAGATGTGCAGTCATACACATATGAGTGGTTTCATCTCAACTCAGGCATGGATCGGGGGTCAAATTTTAAATTTTGACCAATAAAATATATGTTTTGGGGAAAACCCTTCTGGTGGCAGGGAGTGCAAACCGCAAGTTCGGGCGATTTTTTGTTCTCGAGTTATGGACATCTTAAGCAGCCGAGGCGCAAACTGTCGACCTTTCTCTCGCCTGTGGGGGGTGTCATGTTTCACTGCTTTCTACTTTTTTTTCTCTTTATCAGTAGTGCAGTGTAACCTTTCTGGACCACTCTCAGAATAGGGATGATTTATGGCCAATAACTTGATTGTGATTATTTATCTACACTTTTGTTTTAAATATTGTCGAAATGTGTCCCTTTGAGAATATTTTTCAAAGATTGACATCTCAAATAGGTCACACCTCCGTGTGACCTATTTGAGATATCGTAACATATTTAGAATTTTCAGTAATCTAAAAGTATACTCTTTCTATTTATAACAAATTCAACGTTGTGTGTAAAAGGGAAAAGGCAGTGTATTCTCGAGCATGGACTATTTCGTAATATTGGCAAATTGGTGGTCCATTTTCTGAAAAGAAACCTTTTTTTTTTGCTGATTTTATTTTCTCTAGCTAGCTATTGCAGTGCTTTATGAGGTAATATAAATAGAAAATGTAAAATTTTGTTTGTATGGCAGCTATAAGAGCTTGAAAACTGATTTAGTTTGACTGTTTTGTCAGTAAATCAACTTACTCGCAAAAATACACTAATTCAAAATTGGCGCCTTTTATTTTTTAATAGATACCTGTGAACACACTTATTCTTTGGTTGTCAATATGACAATTATTCTTTGATTGTCAATATTTGTCAATATGACGTTTTTGGACGATATTTGTGAGTTTACCAGCTCTTCCGTGTGACCTCATATATATTTTGTAGTTTCAGAAAGCTTAGAATATACTCATTTTAGTGATAACGAATTTGGTGTTGTGTGTAAAAGGGAAAGGACAGTATTTTGTTTTGTGAAGCGAGGACTATTTACAAAAGTTTGCGAATTGGAGGTCGATTTTCTAAAAAGCCTACCTTTTCTTTTGCCTAATTGTTTTTCTCTAGCTACCTATTGCTGTGCTTTATAAAGTAAAATAAGCAAGAAATGTAATATTTTTTTTTATATGACGGCTATAAAGGCTTACATTTTGGTTTTTGTTCACTTGTCGCCCAGTAATACAAGTGACACACAAAAGTACACTAACTCATATTTAACGCATTTGAAATGTTCAGTAACTACCTGTAAATTCCTTTAATAAAAGAAGATGCAAACGGCGAGTTATGGTAATAACGCGTCTAGGTCATAATATCTTTAATATATTTTTTTTGATTGTCAAACCGCCTCTTTGCAACAATATTTGATGAAGTTCAGCAAGTTGTGCTGTGTGACCTAATCAATATATTTTTATGATCTTTAAGTCATCGTAGATCTCCAATTAAGCTCTTCCTTTTAAATATAATTTGTATATTTTGCGCTAAACATGTAACGCGGAACAATTGCCTGAAAAACGAATATTTAGAGAGACTTGCAATTTTGAAGTCGATTTTCTAAAAAGGAACACCTTTCATGCCGTTCACTTTTTGTTTACAGGCAGGTAATATAGTAGTCTGTGAGGAACCACCAACAAAAATTGTAATATATTGTTTGAATGGCCGCTATTAGGACTGGAATCTCGTGCTACAGAGTTTTTAACGGTACTTCACATAGATGCTCAGCTGAGCAGAATTTTGACCTATGTGAGGTTTTCTATATAATGTTAGTACTTACCTCAATATCTGAGCTTAAAAGCCAGTGAAGCAACAATATTTATCCTAACAATATTTATTTACTGGGCATTGGCGTGATTTGCAAGGTGTGTGAGCTTGGCCCTATGTATTGACTGAGAAGATACGTAATATCTAGACTCCCGGACAAACTTAAGTCTAGAGGAAAATATATTAGTAATTCGGCATGAATCACTGAAAATAGAAATGGAACTTAAACACATGAGTAACACATTTGAAGCCTTACACGCTACGAAATGCTCGTTATTTTACGAAAGAGTTCATACATGCACAAAATAAACCGCACTTCCTAAGCGTCACATACAAAATTATATATATGTATATGCACTGCATATCTGTTTGACATAATAAAACATGGCAATTACATATCAACTTCGATATTTCAAACTCAAAGCAGAAAGCAAAAGGCCCCATAGGAATTCAATCTGCATTCCACCGTATTGAGAAGAAGTAAGCGCTGGTGCCCCGCACTTGTGGATACGGACTTCTAAGCAACTTTTTTAAGTACACTACTCCCAATATTATTAATACGGTTTGATATTGAGGTAACTGCAAACGATAAGTAGAAAACCTAACATAGGCCAAAATTCTGCTCAGCAGACCGCCTTTGCGAAGTCCCGTTCAAAACGCTCATAGCACGAGATTCGAGTCTTAATAGCTGCCATACAAACAATATATTACAATTTCTGTTGGAAGTTCCAGATAGACTGCTATAGTACCCAACTGTGAATAAAAATAAAACACATAAAAAGTTTTTTTTTTTTTTCAAAAATCGACTATAAACTTGCTAGTTTTTCGAAATATCCGTTTTTCAGGCACATGTAGCGCTTTATATATTTATTGCACAATATCGAAATTATACTAATCAAAGAGCTTAATTAGAGCTTTATGGTGATGTAAAGATCATAAAATTATGTTGATTAGGTCAGACAGCCCAGCGTGCTGAACTTCGTTAAATATCGCCGCAGAGAGGCGGTTTGGCAAATAAAAAAAAATCATTAAGAATGTTGTGACCTAGACGCTTAATTAGCATAAAAAAGCATATGTCGTGAGTGTTGCCAAAAAGTTACATTGATGTATCGTAAAAAGTAAGGAAAAGGGATGGAGTGAAATATGGCATCCCCGATAAGCTGGAAAAACAAGTTTCCAGTTTGGTCGCTTTAAAGGTCCGTAACTTGAGAACGAAAATTCCCACGAACTTGCCCTTTGCGTCTTCTTTTATTATAAAAATTGCGCGATTACAAGTATTTAAAAAAAAAATTAAAAATTGGACCCAAATTTTGCGCCTGAGCTGAGATGAAATCACCCATATATATATATATATATATATATATATATATATATATATATATATATATATATAAGGCCGAAACAACGACCAATAAGTGATAAAACGCCATTAGAAACTTCGACTTACGTTTATACTCTTATACACTTTTCGTCCTCCAAAGAAGCAGTTTTTTTCATATTATATATATAGTTTAAAATATCCCCCCTTTTCCTTCCCACTTTGAGCTCCCCATATATATACTATCAACCACACGGTGTTTACTTTGGCCATAGTTTCGCTGTCGCGGTATTTGTTTTCTGTTCATTTTTCTAATTTGGTTTCTTAAATGCAAGGAAGACAGCAGAAGAAACGATGTCACTACACTCCCCGAACAAATAAGAGACTACAGCACGTCTCCAACGTCATATGAAGCTTCTGTTCTACACCCGGAATCTACTGCTAAAAGCTTTAAAGAGATCAATATTTGAGTCCCAGGGTTTTCATGCTCTAAGGCGATACTTAGCTTTCCCATCTAGACACGTCTACTTGACCACAACTAGCTTTGCGGGAAACCAGACGTGCAGACATTTGTTAGAGTGCAAGGGAACATGGGCGTTTCTTTTCGAAGAAAGAAAAAAAAAAAGATAATGTCTTAGTTGTATATGGTCCGGGTTGCGGCTCACTACCCGGTTACCTCCACTTAGGGAAGTGAGCAAGTTTGGGATCAAGCTGGCAAAGTGAGCCCCAATCGGTTCATCCTCCAAAAGACAAAACAACTTGCCAAAAAAAAAAAAAAAAGCACAAAGATTAAGAAAGGAAAAAGGGGGCAAAGAACAGAGACAAAGAAGAGGAAGCTAAACCGCGCCCATCCTCTTCAGTTCCGTATTGTCTGTTTTCGTTTTGCCGTCTAAACATACGCACAACAAAATAAATATTAAAATCTCCCCTCCCCCCTCCTTTCTCCTTCCCACGTTGGCTTCCCCAAACAGCGTGGCACGTTGCAGTGCGCATGAGCAGTACGACGCCCCATTTTGAAAAGAACTCGTTATTTACATTTTTTTTAACTTTGGGAACGTTGTTGACATCGACCAAAGCCAATACCACGAGGATCACGGCGCTAGCAGGCGATAACGTCAAGGCGGACGCGACTGCCGCTTGTAGCGGCTCGGTGATCCACTAACGATGACGCAATGCGCAGGCCTTGTCTTCTCGGTGGTATTCGCACGGTGCCATGGAACGCGTCTCGGACCGGTCGCGTTGCGCACCCTATTTCCTCCACGCATCGAGAGTGGCCCCAGAGTAACAACAAATGACGTCACAAAAAAAAGTACACCTCGAGTCATGCTGTTGGACGTCGCGATCCTTGCGGTTGGGCGTAGAAGTACCGGCGAAAAGCACGGGCGAACGCCAGTGTTGCCGACGCCGCGCCGTCCCAACTCTTGCCTGCCGAAGCTACCGTGAGCTGCGAACCTGGAGAGCGACCTGTAGCCGAACAGGCATCTGCCAGGTACACCACCGCTACTGTGAAACTGCCCAAGATCGCGGTCGGTGACCACGTGACACTTTCATGAGGTCATTAGGCGAAAGTTGTCCATGGCACCAGAGTATTGGCAAAGCGCTTACCGTGAAGCCGTAGCTGGGCGCTCCCCTGGGCGGTGGCGTCTCCGTAGCGCACGAAGCACTGATAGACGCCGACGTCTTCCCGCTGGACGCTCGTCAGGTGTAGCCTCTGTCCGTCCGCCCGCAGCTGAAACCTCGGCGCACCAGGGACGGAGCCGTCGTGCAGCCACGAGAAGGACAGGGCACCGCCTCGGAAGCCGCGTGCCGTGCAGTTGAACGTCATCGGCCTCGTGAGCTCGGCTCTGGCTTCTTCGGGTGACACCGTCACGCTTACGTTCACTGCGGAGCAATTGAAATAAGAAAGAAACCTTCATCAAAAAGTGTATCGGGATTAAAAAATAACTAAAAAGGAGACCGCAATGTGGGTTTTCTTTTTCAACAAAGATCGGTAATTTTATATTCAGCATCACACTGTTGTTGTTTTTAGCTTTTACATAGACTGGGAAAAACCAAAACTTATCCCTCCCCTCCCCCCCCCCCCCCCCCCCACACACACACACACTCAAATCATAGCATGACGTGTAAACGGCTCTTGATGAGACAGGCATCTGAAATGAACAGCTGGTCTCTTCTCGTTTTGTCTGTTTCTTTAGAAGTCTAGTTGACAAAACGCAAATATTCTAGAAGTAGAAGGAAATTTGGAACTATCACTTCAGTTTAGAACACATTAAAAAAAATTGTAAATTCAAACTAACTCTTGAACTGAGTCTCGGTAATCAGCTCAGAAAACAAGTTCCTCATTGAGTACTAAACAAAGAAAAGGCAGAACGCCTAGAGGTCTGACAACATGTGACACGGCATTAAGACCTATAATCTCAGCCGAAAGACCTTCTAATATGCGAGAGGACTCGTCACGAGCTCGACCAAAAAAAAAAAACAAAGCTGACAATAAACAGAGAAACTAAGCGACCACCTGAGCAGACCCGTTCGATAAATTATCCACTTTTCGATATGTTACGTTCAACACACCACCCCGCTATATTCTCCCTCTTTAAGTACACTCTAAAAAAGCCCGTCCGTGTACTTTCCCGCACAACACTCGAAGAACCAATCCCCGTAACATACAAAGGCAGCTCAGCGAATGACGATGCCGAAACATATGTTTAGACCAAAAAAACGCAGTCTGCGTTGTGACATTAAGCAATGCAAGCATGACGTTTTGCATTGCTTAATGTCACAGGTCAGACTGCGTTTTTTGGTCTAAACGTATGTTTCGGCCTCGTCATTCGCTGAGCTGCCCCCATAAGTTGCGGTGATTGGTTCTCCGGGTGTTGTGCGGGAAAGTAGACGTACGGTCATTTTTTTTGAGTGATATAGTCAACGTCAGCTTGAGAAACAAAGGGCGTGGTCAACCATGTTTATGCTTCATGCTTCGCGATTCGTTCTTGGCCATTCATGGCGGATTATGCCGCAGTCCTATTGGCTGCATAAACGTGATAAGCGATGCCATGTGTTTCTCGAGTTTTCAGTGACTCTAGAAAATCAGAGCGTCTACTTCTTAACTTAAGTCTTTCCCGTTATTTTTTTTTCTTCAGATATTTAATGCACGCTTGGGCGTAGCGCGCGCGATTACCCTCTGCCATTCATTCCCCCGTGCGACGACGCGACCCCATTCCGCCGGCAGCGCGTTCTTCGGCGCGCGTCCAAAAAGACCCAATTGTCTCTCGTCCCCCTTCAGGCCTGGCACGATCGCGAGGTGCGCAGCACGGAGCGTAATTGGACGGATTAGCGTGCAGGCCGCAGCGAACCCTCGTCATCATCGAGCAACGCGACAGGCACGCTTTTTTTTTTTTTTTTTAACGAGCTCTCTTTTCCCGCGCGCACCATAATTGAGGGCGGGCAACGAAAGCGGCCCAGCCTTGGCGTTCAATCCGCCGTGCACTCTTTAACATCACGCTGGATCTCTGAGGATGCTACAAGTCATCTCGTCCAATGCGAGGTCTTGTGACTGTCACGTGGTCCGCGGGAGTGGCGCAGAAACGGGAGTGGACGTATATAGTTAGGTGATACGCTTGACGGTGCTGAAAAGACCTCCCGCTCGATTACCCAAGCGGCGAGGAGCATGCTGGGAGTGTAGTTACAGGCGCCGCGCGCGCTGGCGTCTGCAATAGTAACTCGTCCAAATGGCACTTTCAACGCGGGTTCATCATCGTTTATTTTAGTTTTTTGTTTTTGTTATTTCTTTGGAATTTTGTAAAGCCCCCGAAGTTTTGAGATCGCAGTGCGCGGCTTAAAATGCTCACGCTCATCGACTCTCGCCGACTGCGGAACGATAGTAAGGTGCTCGGGACGTACCACCAGAGGCTGATTCGCACAGCGAGAACACAGCCCCGTTTTTGTACGTTGCGTTAAGAAAGCTTACTTACAAGTGAACAGGAAGGGTGTGAGTACAAGCGAGCCGGAAGGGTATTTAGCGTGGCTACCAGTTCAAGGAGATAGCCTGGACACGAAATTTGAGACACGGTTGCTTCCGCGACTTATACGTAAGGGAGGAAAAACGTAACAAAAAAGTGCTGCGTGAAGCAGCCCTTCAATGCGAATGATAGCTTCTTCAGCTATCATTGACATTAAACAGATAAAGCGAACACGGTCAGCGCGTCTGCCTTCGTTCCTAGCCTTCTCCTCAGTGCGTGGGTAAATTGGCAAAAAAGGTCTACGGGGCGAAAAACTGAATGAGAGGAAAGAACGAGAACGCGCGGTTACGTCAGAACGCCACATTCTGGTTGGAAAGATAAGGGGGTGGTCCTAAAGCTAGCTGCCTTTATCTCGACTGCACACATCGAACGCTTCGGAATGCGGGTTGCCGGCGTCCGGCGTTTGCTTTCGCACTCGAGCGCAATCGACGAGTGCAATGGAGACAAAGGCACTATAGCTTTAGGTCTACCCACTATTTATTCCAACCAGAGCGCGGAGTTCTGACGTCCCTGGCGCGTTCTGGTCTTCTCCTCTCCCGCACTTTCTCGGCGAAATGAGATGGCGCGTGGCGTTGGTCTATCATGAGACATGACTGAGTGTAGCCTCGGCGTAGGGCCGACTTTGGGAGCGGCATACCGCGCGTGAGCTCAAATACTCTTTCCTTGCTCGTTTCGCCCTATTTGCGCGTCGTCCGGCCCCGCTCGTCCAGTCCCCAGCGCCCGGCCTTGAGCGCGTCAGTGGCTCCGGGGCAGGCGCGGACTGCGACGTCGCTACGAGGATTTCCGCTGGCACTGTGTGACTCGACCCCGTACGTCCCACCGCCCCGACGCAATTACGCGAACCCAAAAGAAAACCCCGCGTTTTATTTTGTTAAATTTTAGCGCGCGTTTTAACGTCGTCGCTCTCTTTAATTCTTAAACGCGTCGAGATGGCTCGGCAGATTTTAATTAGGACGCCACCGCCTCGTTGTTTTGACGCCCGTCGCCGAACCGCCGCTCTGGGCTTCAGCAGTGGCGTGCATCTTAGTTTGCGGTGCAGCTGCCGCTTTTCGCGTAATGTCTTTTTTATAAAATTTTTATTATTTATTTACGGGACCGTTCCTCCCTGCCTCGGGGGTTCGGGAACGTGTTTGAAACTTCCCGATAAGATAATTCCTTATAAGCAGAGTTTAAAATTAGGTATTGTTGATATGTTGTGTGTCCCGCGTCTCGTTGCGTGTGTGTGCGTGCGATGTGTGTGTGTGTGTGTGCGTGCGTGCGTTTATCGCATGATCGGGGGAAAACATTTGTTACAGGTCTGATATTTCCTATCCCACTTGTTCAATATTTTTTGCATAAATGAATTCTAGGTGAGTTGTACATTGCCATTTGGCAATGAAACAAATTATACGACTGTTTAAAGAGTGCGCCAATGAAGACATTAAAGTCGTCTCGAGCGAAGTACCATATAGTGGAAGTTTACAATTATCAATAACACAAGTTCCGTGAGACACGAATCTGTTCGAACAGATAATTCAAAATCACCATCGAGTTTTGTGTTGCCTTTCGTTTCGATCTCGTGAGAGACCGACTGAATGTCCATAAACCAGCGATGTGTATATTGTAGACGATGACTTGAAAGGACACTGACACCACCCCCCCCCCCCCCAGTTTTTTTCTAGTGTTTTAATTTAATGTTAGGACACTATACAATGAATGGCTTGCTACATAGTCACGTATATTTTTAATAAACCCGCAAAACGCAACTGCTTGATACTGAAACCGAAACACGAGCACAGAAGCTCATGGCCGGAAGTCACGGAACTACATCCGACGAACGACAGTTCCGAAGTAGCGGCCCCACGTCCGTCGCAGCGTTAGTCTTTCGTGTGCTGTCATCGCGTGGCCCAGCCCGCGGTACGTCATTATAAAAATGAGGCGTATATGTACTTCCTGTGATTTGTACATTTTTTTATCATCGTATTTGCAGCTTTTTTGGAGGCCACAAGAATGTGGTTCATATACTTTTTCTTAATATTCAATCTGTGCCATAGATGACCCTTAATTTTGAGTATACCTTGTGCACAATGTTTGAACGCCATGTGACCTTGAAAAATACAGTTAGCACGACTGAAACCGGCCAATTCTCGACCGGCAGCTTTTGGGCTGAACGAAAACGAATTTCGATCCGCAAATTATGTTCTGGCTAGTTTGGCTCTTATAGTTCATGTTAAAATAAAAACATCGGCGAGCATAAATACTCCACCGGCGTCTCTTTAAATCCTGACGATCAGTTACACAAGGCTGCGGCCAAAACGCACAAAGTGAAACATACCCTGAAAGTGTCGGCACCCCTTTCCTGTGTCTTAATTTTAATCTTTGTATTGTTTCTTAATTTGATTTGTGAAACTGTGTTTGTATACGCGATGAAGATAAAATACGCCTATTCCAGTCACGCGATTCAATCGCGTCGGGATAGAACCAAGCAGGAATGTATATTATAAACTTGCCTCTCTCAGGTTCATCGGGTTGTAAACTTGATATTGTATGTAAAAAAGTACGTGCCGTGGCTAGTTGGTATTATATACCCTGAAGACTAAAGTGCGAAACACGAAGCGCAAGCGAAAGAAAGCCGTTGCTCTGTTTCTTCATTGTAAAATAAAAGTCAGAATCTGAGAATAAACAAAAAAATATCTAAAGATTAATGCTTAAAACCTGTTTCATATTCTTGTTGTTTTCTTTTCGACAAATGCCTTTTTTATTATTTAATTTTTCCCGTGGATAGTCAACAAGCATGCCACCCGACTTCCAGCATAGCATGGGCGCCGTTCCTTCGCCATTTCGCAAACCTACCCCCTGCAAACAGGGTGTACGCAGAGCATACAT